ATAACACAATCACATACCGCTACCAATGATCAACTTTTATAAACCAAGAGTAAGATTAACCCCGCACTAGGCGGAACACTGCGTTGTATCGCAATAATTTGCTTACTATGTATTTGATATATCTACCACCATCGTCACCTGAAGTACCACTACCATCATTGTCACCTGCATCGTCTTTACCACCATCGTCACATGCATCATTTGGTCTACGGTGTTTGGCTATTAGTAACGTCATGAACACCATCGCCATTATCGTTGCTGCATCTATATATATATATATATATATATATATATATATATATATATATATATATATATATATATATATATATATATATATATATATATATATATATATATATATATATATATATATATATATATATATATATATATATATATATATATATATATATATATATATATATATATATATGTGTGTGTGTGTGTGTGTGTGTGTGCTCTTTACCACAACTATAGATACTATCTTCAGTGTAAACACACATCACGTAAACTAATATCCACTGACAATGCGCCTATCACCATTATCGACGTTACTACACTCTCGCCTTCACTGTACACATATCAACACTACTGTCACTATACACCCATCAACATCACTGTCACCGAGCACTATCACCATCGTCGTCGCTACATATATCACTATCGTCGTCACTACATATATCACTATCGTCGACACTACACATATCACCATCGCCGACACTGTACACATCACCATCGCCGACACTGTACACATCACCATCGCCGACACTGTACACATATCACCATCGCCGACACTATACATCTCACCTCCGCCGACACCGTACACATCACAATTGCCGACACTGTACGCATATCACCATCGCTGACACACTACACAGCAATATCGTCGACACTGTACACGTATCACCATTGTCTCCACTGTTTACATATCACCATGATTATCACTGTAAACACACTATCAATGTTATCAATGTATACATATCAACAGCATTCACTATATACTCGCCACTACCACTGTCAGCGTAGATCAGTCTCCACATTACCATCTATGTCACTGTAGAATACAAACATATCTAGTATCACTGTAGCATTGAGAAGTACAGTGCCGCCTTCACTGTACCCTTTTAGAATAACCACCGTCGCTGTAGCATTCAATATTATCACAAACGTCGCTGTAGCATTTAGAATTACATATAACGTCACTAGCATTTGAAATTACACTTAATGCTACTTTATTATTTAGAATGATTCATCTATTATCACCACCGTGGCAAACACTGCAACTATTTTTCCACTACTAGTGTCGCTGTCTCAGCATCACCATTGCTGGCACTGCGTCTGGCACCATCGTCACCCAATGTATTTCACCATCACTGCCACTCCCTCTATACCAATAAGATCGTTTCTTCGTTTATATTATCACCACAATCGTCATTATAAGCTGTATCATAACACCATCGTCACTGCATCTAAATTACAACCATCCTCGTTATTTCATATATATATATATATATATATATATATATATATATATATATATATATATATATATATATATATATATATATATATATATATATATATATATATATATATATCAGTAATAATTTCACTGTACATCATCACTACTGCTACTGCGTCATATCACCATCATTGGTATTCAGTCTGTATTACCTCTGTTGTTACTGCGTCTATATTACCACCGTTGATACTGTGTCACCATTGTTGTTATTGCATTTATATCACCACTTTGTTACTATCACTACTGTTGTTACTGCGTGTATCACCACTGTTGTTACTGCGTCTATCACCACTGTAGTAACTGCGCCTATCACCACTGTAGTAACTGCGTCTATCACCACTGTTGTTACTGCGTCTATCACCACTGTTGTTACTGCGTCTATCACCACTGTTGTTACTGCGTCTATCACCACTGTTGTTACTGCGTCTATCACCACTGTTGTTACTGCGTCTATCACCACTGTTGTTACTGCGTCTATCACCACTGTTGTAACTGCGTCTATATCACCACTGTTGTTTTACGGCTACATTATCACAGTTGTTCGTTTATATTTTCGTTGTTGTTACTTGTCTTACTATCACCAATTTTATTATTGACTGTATCATCTCCATTGCTAGCCTACTGCGTCGGATCACAACCTCTGTTTCTACGTTTATATCACCATTGTTATACAGTTTTCTATATCATCACTGTTGATACAGTATCTATATCATCATTGTTGATACAGTATTTATTCTATATCATCACTGTTGATACAGTATCTCTATCATCATTGCTGTTACTGCGGCTATATCACCACCGTTGTTTCTATATAATTATTCCTGATATAGTATCAACATAATTATTATTGTCAACGGTGGTGATATAGACGTAGAAACAACGGTGGTAATATAATAATAATGTAATAATAATTAATATATCACCAACGTTGTTTCTGTTTATATCACCACGGTTGATAGTGTCTATAACAGCAATGTTGTTACTGAGCTTATATCACCACCGTTGTTTTTACGTCTATATCACCACTATTGAAATAGTGTATATCATCACTGTTGTAGCTGTGTCTAAGTCCCCATCGTTGCTTCAACGTCTATATCACATTGTTGTTACTGAGTCTATATTACCACCGTTGGTAGGCTACTGCGTCTATTACCCCCGTTGGCAGGCTAGTGCATCATTACCACCGTTGGTAGGCTACTGCGTCTATATTTCCACCGTTGGTAGGCTACTGTATCTATTACTGCAACCACCGTCACTTGATATGTAGCTATAACATGTGTCAATTTGTATATACAGTATTATAACTTCCATGGTCAGTTTCTGCGTTATTACAATCATTGTCAATTTCTGCATTATCACAATTATGGTCACTATATATTCACAATCATGTTCATTTCAAATACCATAACCTTGAACACTTCGTAGAATTACATCCATTGACACCTTATGCCTGAATAATAACATCCATGGTAAATGACTATAATCCTAACCATGGCCACTATATAATCATAAACATGGTAACTATAATCATAACCAGTCATTATATCATAACTATGGTCACTGTTTTATCATAACCATAGTTACTCTATATCATCTTAACCATGATCATTGTATATATAAAACAAAGGCCGCTATGCCTTTATCAGCATAACCATGGCCACGTTCCACAGGATATATCACCATAAATGTATTCACGATATCAAGGCAATATCCTCATAACTCTGGTCAATCTACATCATTGTATATTAACCATGGTCGATGTCTATATCTTTGCAACCATGGTCTCTATATATATATATATATATATATATGTTAACAACCAGGACATAGACACAATGTTTAAATCACAACCTTGCTCGCTGCCTATATAACAATCATAGTCACTGTCTTCGTCAGGCACTATACCTAGTTATATCACCATCATCGTCGTCACTGAGCTTTATCACCACCACTATCAACACTGCGTATATATATCCACAATCACCACGTCTATATTATCACCATCGTTAGGCCTTATATCACCAGCACACTCATTGCGAATATATCATCACATACTGGACTTATATCACCATCGTTTCCGCGCATATATTATAACCCTTTTCAGTACCTCTATATCAACAACCACAGTTTCGATGCACATCACTACCATTGCACCCACCACTGGTTCAGCGTTACTAGACCCAACCCTACTACTTTAGATATTATCACGACCAATATAGGAACGTTATTTATAATAACGCGACGTTGCTTACGCAAAGCTTTCATCAGTTGCAGTGACTAGCAATAGCTATTAACACTATTCATATTCACATACACAATTAAATCACAACAAAGTTATATATCTATGAGAAAAATCCCTCCGTCTTGCTCCAAAGACTTTCTCACTATTCACATTTATCGCCATAAAAACACTGGTTCCCCAACCACAATATCACATTCGCTAATTTGTAATATGTACCTTCATTCTTCACGGGAAGTTTTTAGGTGTTAGTAACACAGGTATTTCTAAATATGTCCTGTTTTAATTAGATTTCATAGATAAGAGTTCAATTAAAAACTTGTTTTACAAAAATATTACCTTGTATATTTGTTTTTAATTTTAAGCAAAGGCTGAATAATGTAGTTTTATGTACTCTAGGCGATTTGTTACTTTATTAATTTGACAAAATTCTATATATTAATTTTTAATTTTATTAATACTTAATTAAAAAAAATTGAGAGCATAGATGAATTTAAATTGTCAAAATTTTTTATTTAAAAACAAATAATTCAAATGAAACTTATTAAGCTATACTAAACAATATCTTATCTTTTCTCTGAACTTAGATAAAATATTTACATTAATATATAAATGTTACTGATCGATTGTATTTAGTTATTTAATTTAAATGAAGGTTATAAGTGCTATTTTTTAATAAATAAATTGATGAAGAGAGCGAATCAATAATTTACAAAATATATTTAATTTCACAGAGAACGGGAATGTGATCATACGGCTGGACAGAGCCAGAAGAGGCGTGAATATTTGTTCACTATTAGATAGGGAAGGACTCCACGACTATGATATATGAGTTCATTGTTTACACAAGTGAACTAACGACCACTCCCTGCGTGGGTGAGACGTGTGTGTCTCCAGACTCTTGGATCCACAGTAGAGATGTACAGTGGGCGGGGAAGAGAGCTTAGGTGGGCGTAAGAGTGGTGGTGGGCTAGGGTGGGTGGCGGGCGGCGGCAGGCAGGTAGGTGGGTAGCGGTGAAGCAGCGCTGCCTCGCCCGCCGCCACGGGTTACCTGCTTCACCGCCACCATCACGCCCACCCCTTCCTCACGCCCACACCACCGCCCACCTGGCCCTCTCCACCCGAGGATCACGACCATTATGGGTACCGCATGAGGCAGCGATTTAGCCAAGGTTTCTACAGCGACAGAAAGTAATATACCAAATAATAAATACCAAAACTGCTGAGGTTACTTACCCATATATGAGGTCTTTGTCGCGTTTGTGTACGTCGGGCACGGAGCCCATCACGTGGTTTGCCGCCACATGGTTAGAGGCTTGAGAGTGGGCGTACATCGCCGCGTTGTGGGCGGCACCACCCACATGGTTCATGTGGCTCATGAGAGATGGTTGTAAAGCCGCTGCCGCCGCCGCTGTTCGGTGCGGGTCGCCGTACATGTTGGCCACGGTCTCCATACTCGCGCCGCCACCACCGTAGTGCCCCAGCCCGTCGTCGTACTGCGGGAGAACCACGTTACACACCTTACTATAACACTCCACACACACGCATTTTCCTCAGCACTTTGTATCACAATAAAACACTGGTTGGTAACGGGCGGAGAGGCCGCCTGGCTGACCGACTGGACGCTGCCGCACACACTGGGCTCCGCCGCCCACTGCCGCCCACAGACCGACTAGTGGTCAACATGAGGAGAGTGGGGCGGCGGGGCACAACTTACCCTGGCAGGCTGAGCCATGTCAACCAAGAGTACTGTGCTTGCTTCACTCGGTACACCACTACAATGTCGCGCCGCAACAGTCACTACACGCCCACCCGCGCACCGCACTGCACCGTCTAGTACCGCGCCGTACCTGCACCGCGCGTCAACACGTCAATCGACATGAGGCGACTGAGAGCGGAGCGGCGTGCGTGTCCGCCTGTCACTGGACCCCAACTGCTGTCAATCACGCCGCCCGCCGCCACAAATGAATGAGCTGTCACGAGCACCGCCCCGGGGCGCTGCGCACTCCCTCAGTGGGCGGGGCCACGCACCGCATCACGCCCTCGCCCCGCCCTGCATCCAATCACGCTCCGCCCAGATCCCGCCCAGAGCCCGCCCCTAGCCAATAGGCGCCTCCTCCTACATTCCGGGTTCACATGTGAGTTGCTCTTGACGAACCCAAATATAGATTTGATACTTTTTGTGACTGAATTATTATGGATATTTTCGTTTGATCAGCAGTGGATTATTAAGAGCCAGCAATGTGTGTTGGAGTTATAACCCCGCGTGTAGGTAAGGCCAGGTAACGAAAGCGACAGAGCAATGGGAGGAGATGTTGCAACGCTCTGGTGAGGTGGTAGGCTGTGTGTGAGCATCCCCGAGCACAGTGGCCAGTGGGGACACTCCTGCGGCCGGGTGCTGAGGTGATCAGTGCCACACAACCTCCTACACTGACGTGTCACCTCAACCACTGGCACTCACCTCAAGCTGGAAACCTGCAACCCCGCCCTGTCACACTACAAGAACACGCCCACAGCTGTAACAGCCACCAACCTCGCACCACACCTACACGAAGGAGAGACAAGGACTAGTCCAGCCTTCTCACGGCACAAACCACTTTTGTCATCACAACAACAAACTTTAACCCCGCCCACCGCCAACCTTGCTCATCTCTCCAACACCTCCGGGCTACATATGTATGCCTTTAATTCTATCTCTACATACAGATCTTTATTTTCTCACATTAGTGGACAATTAAGGTGGTTCGGGCTCTGTAGGTTGGCCCGTGTATCAGAGGGACATCTTGGTCCTTAACCACAAAAACAATAACACGGTCTGCTTGCAACTTTCATTGACCACAAAACGTAAACACGTGATATTAAATGATTTCATTTTTATGTAACTTACATAATTTATATTTTGTTTATATATACTGTAAATGTGTGTGCGTGTCTGTCATGTTAGAAGTTATGCAGTGTATGCTTTGCGTATTAGTAGGTAATATTTTATAAGAGGCATATTTTTACATTTGTTGTAATCCATTGAGGTGATTCATGAATTGAAGCTAATCTGCGGTTTGTGTTGCTAAGTGGTATTCGCTGTGTTTACAAAGTTTACATTGAAAGTGCATTTGACATTGAAGCATGTCTTTAAATAAATATAGGTCTGATGTGCAGGAGCTGATGGGTCTGATCATGTGTTGAAATGGCGTGATTGGTAGACAGTAAAGATGGATGAAGGATGGTGGGGGTGATTCCCACAACGTTGTCAACACAAACATTGCTTCCACCAGAGTTGGCACCCCACAATGTGGTCACCCCCACAACCTTACCACATCACACTGTCACCCGACTACCTTGTCACCCCACGATTTTGTCACCCCATAAACTTATCACCCCACAAACGTAACACCTCACAATGTTGTCACCTCTCAACCTTATTACCCCACAATTTTGTCACCCCAGTACCTTATCACTCCGCAAAGTTGTAACCCCTCAACCCTACCACCCCAAGATGTTGTCACCCCCACAACCTTATCACCAGAATATTTCTTGCCCCCATGACGCTGTTTCCCTCCACAACATTGCTTTCCCCTACAACGACACTTCTATCCACAATGTTGCTTGGCCCACAACGTTGTTTCCCACACAACGACGTTTTTCCCCACAACGTTGCTTATCCCACAATGCCGTTTTCCCCCACAACGACGCTTACCCAACAACGTCGTTTCCCCCACAATGTTGCTCCCCCACAGCCTCATCGAATCGCCTCAAGCCCTTTCCTCATTGTTATTTCACGCGTGGAGTCCATTGTTCTCTTGTCATTTTCTCGGTCTTTCGTTAATATCGCTCTTCGCTCCGCGTCCCCCATTCTGTCACGATCTGTGAACCTTATTCATTCCTGTTCATCTCTCTTTACTCCAGTTAACCTAGTTTGGCTCTCCCTGTTATTTGTCTCTGGTTTAATCTTTCCGTGTTGTTTAATCGCGCTCTGTGGCTAGTTTTCTCCGTGTTTAATTGCTCTTTGTGGTTTAGTTTTCCATGTTATTTAATCGCTCTCCGTGATTTGATTTCTGCAGTGTTTGTGATCGCTCCCTGTGTTCCTATCATTTTGTTTGTTTGCTCCTTAAGGAGCAAAAATTTCTTCCGATCTTTACGTTGTTTGCTGAACACAGTTATTCGTTTCGTTGTTAGATTGGACAGCGCACAAATCGGTCAGCGACGTAGAGAAACACCAGTTGAGAATAGAAATGATTAAAGATGACTTTTCGCCCCTAAAATTTACACGCAATATTCAGTAATATCTTCCGTCAGCTTTTCTGTAAAGTTAATATTAGGCGCTCTGTTCGCCATGGTTTTAAATTAAAATCAAATCAAATAAAAAACTTATAAATGAAGTACATTTATAATTTTGTTTACACCAAATTGCAGTACATTACTTACATAAAATATAGTCACAATAACAACATAGCACGTAAACATTATCATTATATGCTGTACAATTTTTATTTAAATTTAACAGTTTTATATGTCATGAAAACAACAAGAATTATGGAGCACTCCAGCCGGCCAGTTGACCCATACCAGCTAGCTCCTGTTTATATACACACTCTCACACCTATATACCTATCCAGTCCTCCCACTCTCACTCATATAAAATACTTATTCAATCCACTCCCTCTCACCGATATACCTATCTAATCCTCTCACCCGTATACCTATTCACACACATACACACACACACATACACACACACACACACACACACACACACACACACACACACACACACACACACACACACACACACACACACACACACACACACACACACACACACACACATATATATATATATATATATATATATATATACATATATATGTATATATACAATCTATCCTCTCCCCGCTCACTTATATCTATCCAATCTACTCCCTTTCACCCATATATCTATCCAATCCTCCCCCCTCACACCCATATATCTATTCTTGAAACCTGTTGAACTGGCATTAAACTTAACTTGTGTGCTCCCGTCGTCGGGCTGGTATTTATCCGAACTTTAAATCAAAAATAGTTTTTTAACTCGTAAAACGTTAAAAGTTTTATACTCAGACACATAACATTAAAAGCTTGCCGCAAAGTTTCATTGACTGAGTTGAAATGAATTTGTAATTTTTGTATCAAATTAATTTGACTAATACTAACTTTTATTTTAGTAATTTTGTGTTTATAAATATTAATATTATTTCAAACATATATTGCTAAAAAGCAAAAATTTTAAGGCAAAATTAAAATTTAAATGTTGATCATACAGTCCATAATTATAATAAATGAATATGTGTTATTCTATTATTATGTCTTTCAAATTCATAAATGTACAGGCATTTATAAATAAAGTTTTCTATTTGATTTGCTAACTCCAAAAAGAGTTCCTCTCTCTCTCTCTCTCTCTGTAGCCTCGCATTACGAAAAGTCTCCAGAGAGCAACACTAAGTCATTACCTGGTATTTCAACAGTTTCCAAAATTATTTTTCCGTGGGTTTTCTGGTGGCGGAAGGCTATAATTGAGCGGAGAGATGGCCCGCTTCCCTAGTATTTTCTTCATGGATCGCATACATCCCACGCCTGCTGAACCATCCATCAGGTGCCTGCTGCAGAATTTCTCACTCCTCGATGCTCACGTGTCTTTATTAGCTCGGTCTTTAATTCTGGCTTTATCGCTGTACTTTACATCTCAATTAGGAAATAAAATTTTATGGCTTTCAGGTGAACTGTGCGTTTGATGCGTGTTTTGTGTGTGTGTGTTTTTACCTTTGGTTTGATGCGTGTTTTCTGTTATGCCTGTGTTTTAACCTTTGGGTTGATGCGTGTTTTGTTATGCCTGTGTTTTAACCTTTGGGTTGATGCGTGTTTCATGTTATGCCTGTGTTTTAACCTTTGGGTTGATGCGTGTTTTCTGTTTTGCCTGTGTTTTAACCTTTGGGTTGATGCGTGTTTTATGTTATGCCTGTGGTCTTACCTTTCATTTGATGCTGGTTTTCTGTTATGTCTGTGCTTTACTTTCATCTCATGCGGGTTTTCTGTTATGTCTGTGTTTTACTTTCATCTGATTCGGGTTTCATGTTTGTTCTTACCTTTTGTTTGATGCAGGTTTTCTTACGTCCATGTTCTCACCTTTCATTATTTACTAATTCTATTGCTTTGTACTTTTTGTTATTTAGTTGTTATTAATACACTTTTTTTGCTATTTACCGTTTAAGAATGCTAACTGACGTATGTGAAATGTTTCTAAAAAATTTAATTCGTTGAATTCTCGCTAATTTTTAGCAATGATAATTCTTTTTCTCTTTGGTTTACTGATTTATTTTTTTATTTAAATTGGGTTTATACCTAGTATCCTTAATGTTGCAATTGGGTTATCAAATAATTTTAAAGTTAAATTGATTTACCAAGTAATCTTAATGCTAAATTTGGTTTACCGAATATCCTTAATATTAAAATCGGGTTACCAAGTATCATTAATTTTAAATTTGGTTTACCGAGTATCCTTAAATGATAAATTTGTTTTACCGATTATCATTAATGCTAGATCAGGTTTACCAAATATCCTTATCGTTAAATTTTTACTATAAATGTATACTGCGCTCGCGCGCTCACACACACACACACACACACACACACACACACACACACACACACACACACACACACACACACACACACACACACACACACACACACACGATAACCACCTAAAACATTCTCAGGGGAATTGATAGGGTGGACAAAGACAAACTATTTAACACGGGGAAGCACGAAGAAGGGGACACAGGTGGAAACTTAGTACCCAAATGAGCCACAGAGACATTAGAGAGAATTTTTCAGTGTCAGGGTAGTTAACAAATGGAATGCATTAAGCAGTGATGTGGTGGAAGCAGACTCCATACAGTTTCAAATATGGATTTGATAGAGCCCAGTAGGCTCAAGGATATGTCCACCAGT